GTGTGAAGTGAAAATTATGCTAAAAGAAATTTTTGAAACATGAAGAAATGGGCTCAAAGTAGGCCTCAGATGGAAATGAGGCTCAATGAACTCGATAACTATCAAAATGAAAAATAATTTTGAACAATATGAATTCAAATTTTCAATGACTTTTTTTTTTTTGAAATTTTCCTTTTATTTGTTTTTTTTTTGAAATTTTTAGTGAAATAGGACTAAAAATAACATGCATACCAATTGGGCCTGACCCAATAACAATTCTCAGCCCTTGGAAAACCGATTTCAGTTTTTTTTTAGTTTTTTTTTCATTCAAAAATATAAATTTATATGCATATCAAAACAATTAATTGATTTTTTATTTACAAAGAAGAATATTATATGTTCAAAACACGTTTTTATTTTACAAAAAGGTTTTTTTTCTATCAATTTTTATGTTATGATTTTTTTATAATTTATTTTTAAGATACCGATACTATTATGTCCTCATGTAGTGATAACTTTAACTATTGATACAGTGAGATTTTTCAATTATAAAAGGAGGAGTGGACCGCGTTGAACGACACTTTGTTCTTGAGTGAGATCTGAGCGTGAGAGAGAAAGAGAGAAAGCTTATGAGTGAGAGAGCCTCCTAGCGAGCCTATGAATATGCATTTTAAGGAAAGTGAGATCTTCCTTTAAACGCGACTCTACCTCTACGTTTATAAAACAGTAGGACTATTGATGGTTCTCAAGTAGTTATCACTTGGTTATATAAATTTTGTATTATATAGATCATCCTAAGTGATGAAATGTTATTTATCTTTCAAAAAGTTTAAGTTTTTGTTTTTTTCCTATAGGATTTGAAAATACATCTTATATACTTAATAGTTCAATTAACTATATCTTCATAGTTTGATCTTGTTAGAACAAGCAAAACGTGAGTAAAAGATGTTTTAACACAACTTTTGTTTGAAATTGAATGGTTTTGATTTTGAAACTGTATGCTAAGATGCAATGTAGTACTTTTGGAGGAATATTTTTTATTAAAATGCCATAAATTATTGAATGTAACGATAGCATACAGTGAAATTATGAAACGTGTTAAGATAGGTAGAAATGGTCAACTTTAAGAATGGATGGACTTAGGATTCTTGAGACTATCTAAGGAATTTTGGTCTTTTATTTTATTTTCTTATTCAACTCCAGTGTTTCAAGTAATGAAAATTAGTTTTGTCTTAGCTATGAATAAGTGGGTGGTTTTGGATTGTATAAATGATTTTTTTTTCTTTATTACAATCAATATTTGTGTTATTGTTATATGCACTTGAAGTGAAATTTTGATGAAGGATTTAAGTACGAACAACTCTATTTTTTTTTTAGTGAGTTAAAATTTACTGGTGTTCAACAAGTGATGTGTGAACATTTTGAAAGATTGTTGTGTTTTTAGTTTGTTATATGTAAGTTAATGTATCAGAAAGTTAAAAATTTAGTTTAAGTAGTTAGATTGAACATAATTTTAGGGTACAAAGTAGCTTACCATGTAGAATTGTAAATTGTTTGGAAACAATTTTAGGATTTTTCTTCCTACACCTTCTTCTTTTTCTTCCTGCACTCCCATAAAATATGTGTTTCCACACTTTTCCTTATTAAAATTATAATTAAAATCTTTGCATCTCTTTTTCTTTTAATAAGTTGCTAATTAGGTACTCCGGGTACAAGAAGAAAGATACATAACTTAAACAACATCTATTAGAAGTTTTGTTTTTTGTTTTAATAATTTGCTTTAAGGAAATTATTTTTCAAATAGTGAAATGTGATTCTAAAATATTGATAATTTATTGATTATACTTGCTCGGGAAAATCAATTTCACCAAGTGCAAATTCACACCTATGAAATCTAATTTTGTCCAATGAAAATAGTCCAGAAATAAATCAGTTGAAATTAGCTCAATAAAATTCCTAAAACTTCAATTAAAAGAGTTGTGATATATAAAATTTTAATTTATTTTAACATTCATATAAATATGTTTATAATTATCATATTCTATGATTTTATTGAATTAACAGCTATTGAATTATAATTTTCAAAAGAAAATACCTTTATACATATGTATAGTATAAATATTGAGTATTATATTATGACTTGAATCCCATAAATGAATATAAGTAATAATTGATGAAGATTTTTGAGTGAGGATTCATCAACAACTAAATGAATGCGTAAAAAATTATCCTATCGTACCTAAATTATCGTATGAGATTGAAATTAAAGAAACATTGGTATAATCAAGTAAATTTTAAAAGAAGAAAAATGAAAAAAAAAAGAGTCTAAGAAATAATAGCTGGTTAAATTTAACTAAGGAGAGTAAGAAATTGAAATTTGACTAAAAAACAATTGCAAATTTTGTCTCTGTATTTGAGACCTTTGAACAAAACAAAGTTTTTTCTTTTTCCTGCACTTCTGTTCTCCACAGTTCTTTTTTGTTGCAAGATAACTGGTTTGGCAACCTTAATCTGTGACCCCAAATTTGAGTCAATCATTCTCAAATAACCTTCAAAACAAATATAAAAAAAGGTTAAATTAGATACTTATATCACTTCAACTTTAGATTATTGAAACCAATAAAAATTACTTAAATTAGTTACATGATGACATTAATTACTTAAATTGTTTTTTTGTTTACTTTAAATTAAATTGTATTTTTTAAAATAAATATAAAAGTTTATACCAATAACTAAAAATATTTTATATCGTAATTTAAATTACTTACTATAGATTCANTATATATATATATATATATATATATAAGTAAAAGTAACATAACTCTCAATTTGTGAGATTCTAACTCTATCCGTAAATATGATTAAAATATATATAAAGTCAAATTTTTATTTATATTGAGTGTGTAGGTTAAAATATTAACTATTAACTATCAAAGTGCTGAGCAAGATGTATTCACTCTCTTGAATCATATATAATTGTGTTGATTTCTTATGCAAAATCATATTAAAGAACGAGATATTTACGTAGAGCTGATAAAAGAAAGAAAAAACAACCTACTATTACACACTTTAAAGAAACAGAACAAACTAACTAATTTATTACAACTTTTTTTTAGATAACTACGGATAATTAATTTTTAGAAATTGTGTGAAATTGTCTTTTTAATTTATTTCTTCTTAGTTCTTTTTTATCCTTTTCCAATATTGATTCTATTATCTTACGATAAAATGGTATATGAGACATTTATTGAGTAAAGATAAACTCTAACGGATTGAGATGACAAACGTTTCATACCATCTTTTAATTTTATGTGTTTTGGATGCTTTCTAAGGTATGAAATATTTTCTTATTTTACAATTGTAGGACTTAGAAAATACTTGAAAATATTAGTGGTCTTAAAAAATAATACTTAATTATTTATTATTAAAAGTCAGATTATAAATAGAATATTCTAATTTCACTTTATAAAAATTATTATCTCACAATTTTTTTAAAATATTTTTTTGTCTTCTTTCTAGATTATCAATGTCATCCTAGATTATCAATTTCATCTTTGATATGTATTATGTATAAAGATCAGAGTACGTCATAGGATTCCTAACGTTGAGGTCGATAATCCTACCCGATCATAATATTCAATAGAGTAAGTTCATTTTTTGCTTTTCCATTTGATCTTTTAATAAATCTCTTTATATAAAGAAGTTAAAATGTTTGCATATGATGATAAAAGGAACATAATGAATTTTGTTCGGTTATGATTATTAAAGTGTGTTATAATTGTTGATCATAGTTCTATATATTCAAGTAAAGTAACATGTGTGAGATAAAGTTTCTGGAGTTTGTGAGATTTAAGCTTGTGAAGAGCACCTTTTGGAGTTTAGGAGCATCAATCAGGTAAGGAAAGTTTGTGTTTTTATACAATTCCAACTATCAATTGAAACATGAGATGAATATGTGAGTTTAATTCAATGGTTATGAGTCATTGTTGTGATGTCTACATTGATTGATTGTGCCTAGTGAATATGCTAAAGTATTGTATGTTATAGATGGTTAAAACTTCTTTATGTTGATTTTTATGTGATTGGCTTGAGAGATCTTGTAGAGAGATATAATTTAAGTGATTTGGTTAAATGTCATTTTGCAACTTGGTTGTCTTTCTAAGATAAAAATCGTACCTAGAGGACTAGATGGACCAAATCATAGATTTGGTATGTCTAGTACAAGTATGAATTACGCAAACTTGTTAAATGAGTGTTTCACTCGTTGAACAAGTACATAATTTACCAACTTAGAGAGGTAGGGAAGCCTCACTAAATAGGTGAGTAATCTACTTGCTAAGCAAGAAGTGTTTTAGAAAAATCAGAGAAGTAAGGGCATGTTCTCTCACTAGACGAAACAAGACTCCTTGAGCAAAATTTGGAAATTTCTTTTGGTGGCCTTATCCACTAAGTGACAGATATGTTTGTTGGGCGAATTTTTGAGGAATTTCTTCTAGTACCCACCTGATGAGTGAGCCATGGTGTCGGTCACGAGAAAAGGGATTTTCAAGTATAACATTTATTTTGTTTTTGAAAAAGATTTGAGTATAAAATGTTTTAAATCGAGTTTAATTTATTATTGAAAAGATAAATGTATTGAATAAACTGTATGTAATAGAAATGTGTTGAGAATTTTGTTAGTTTGATTGTATGGATGGGGATACTATAGAAATTTTCAAGGAGAAAATATTACATTGATAATGTGTTAGAGTTTATTGATACGTTGATCTTTATAAAGAGATTACTTTCCTAGCTCTACTTGAATCCTACTCATATAGAGAAAGATGTATAGTTATGAGAGTTAAAGAAAGTTCAATATTGAGAATTTCGGTGGTTGACCAAACTATCAAATATATAATTTACCTTGTTATGCTTTATGGAATGAAGGTTGTTCGATCCTATATTATATAATTATAACTCTTGTGAGGCAAAGGTAGGAGTGAAATATATAAATCTTTGGGTTTACTCAATGCATGTATCTTTCGAAAGTAGAGTCAAATGCCAATGTTGTATAATCCATTTTGGAAATGCTTTAATTGATGATTTGTATTAATGATTAATTTGAAGGAAAAGAACTTGGTTAGACCATTAATTTGAGTAACATGAATTGTTTTAATTTGAAAAAACTGAGCTTTGGAGTCAGTGTGGAAAACTGAATTTTGTGGGCCAGCGTGGAAATTGGGCTTAGGGCCTAGTGTGAAAACTTGGCTTTGAAATCAATGAGAAATTGGGCTTTGTGGCTAGTGAAAAAATTGGGTTTTGAAACCAATGTGAAAAACTGGACTTTGAAACTAGAATGAAAATTGGACTTGAAGGAAATTGAGCTTATCATAAGGGGTTTGGCCTAATTGGTCATACGGAATGAAATGTGAAGTCTCATTTGGTTAAAGATTATTATTTTTTATTTTATGGAAGAATAAAGAATGATTTGATGATGAATCATGTCGAATAAAAACCCGATTTTTTTTTATTTTTTATTAACAATTTTTTTTTAAGAATTGGACTAACAAAAACTCGGGACAAATCGGCCCAATGGCCTGAAAACTGTTTTTTTGTTGTCAAAGTGAAAAATCTTAAAAGTGAGTTTGATTATTTTTTTTTACAATTAGGAAAATCTCATGATGAAAACATTTATACACAAAAGAAAATTATGAAAACAATGTATTTTTCATCACTTTTCAAATGAACTAGACTCTAGGAAAACCATAACGGCAATCAAGCCTAGTGGGTTCGAGAACCGTTCTTTCTCATTTTTTTTAATTTTTTAATTTTTTATATATTTTTCTTTTTACAGAGAAGGAAAAGACGGAAAATCTTCAAATAATTTTATAAAAAATAAGGTGTGAAGTGAAAATTATGCTAAAAGAAATTTTTGAAACATGAAGAAATGGGCTCAAAGTAGGCCTCAGATGGAAATGAGGCTCAATGAACTCGACAACTATCAAAATGAAAAATAATTTTGAACAATATGAATTCAAATTTTCAATGACTTTTTTTTTTAAATTTTCCTTTTATTTGTTTTTTTTTTGAAATTTTTAGTGAAATAGGACTAAAAATAACATGCATACCAATTGGGCCTGACCCAATAACAATTCTCAGCCCTTGGAAAACCGATTTCAGTTTTTTTTTAGTTTTTTTTTCATTCAAAAATATACATAGTTTGATCTTGTTAGAACAAGCAAAACGTGAGCAAAAGATGTTTTAACACAACTTTTGTTTGAAATTGAATGGTTTTGATTTTGAAACTGTATGCTAAGATGCAATGTAGTACTTTTGGAGGAATATTTTTTATTAAAATGCAATAAATTATTGAATGTAACGATAGCATACAGTGAAATTATGAAACGTGTTAAGATAGGTAGAAATGGTCAACTTTAAGAACGGATGGACTTAGGATTCTTGAGACTATCTAAGGAATTTTGGTCTTTTATTTTATTTTCTTATTCAACTCCAGTGTTTCAAGTAATCAAAATTAGTTTTGTCTTAGCTATGAATAAGTGGGTGGTTTTGGATTGTATAAATGATTTTTTTTTCTTTATTACAATTCAATATTTGTGTTATTGTTATATGAAATTTTGATGAAGGATTTAAGTACGAACAACTCTATTTTGTTTTAGTTTGTTATATGTAAGTTAATGTATCAGAAAGTTAATAATTTGCTTTAAGGAAATTATTTTTCAAATAGTGAAATGTGATTCTAAAATATTGATAATTTATTGATCATACTTGCTCGGGAAAATCAATTTCACCAAGTGCAAATTCACACCTATGAAATCTAATTTTGTCCAATGAAAATAGTCCAGAAATAAATCAGTTGAAATTAGCTCAATAAAATTCCTAAAACTTCAATTTAATTATTAATCTTATTAAAAGAGTTGTGATATATAAAATTTTAATTTATTTTAACATTCATATAAATATGTTTATAATTATCATATTGTATGATTTTATTGAATTAACAGCTATTGAATTATAATTTTCAAAAGAAAATACCTTTATACATATGTATAGTATAAATATTGAGTATTATATTATGACTTGAATCCCATAAATGAATATAAGTAATAATTGATGAAGATTTTTGAGTGCGGATTCATCAACAACTAAGTGAATGCGTAAAACATTATCCTATCGTACCTAACTTATCGTATGAGATTGAAATTAAAGAAACATTGGTATAATCAAGTAAATTAAAGAAAAAATAGCTGGTTAAATTTAAATAAGGAGAGTAAGAAATTGAAATTTGACTAAAAAACAAAACAGTTTTTTCTTTTTCCTGCACTTCTGTTCTCCACAGTTCTTTTTTGTTGACCTTAATCTGTGACCCCAAATTTGAGTCAATCATTCTCAAATAACCTTCAAAACAAATATAAAAAAAGGTTAAATTAGATACTTATATCACTTCAACATTAGATTATTGAAACCAATAAAAACTACTTAAATTAGTTACATGATGACATTAATTACTTAAACTGTTTTTTTGTTTACTTTAAATTAAATTGTATTTTTTAAAATAAATATAAAAGTTTATACCAATAACTACAAATATTTTATATCGTAATTTAAATTACTTACTATAGATTCAAAATATAATTTATATGTTACAAATACTTGTTTATTAAAACTTAATTATAGCATAATTTAATGTATTAAAAATATTTATTTATAATAAACTTTAATTCTATAAAAAAAAACATTTCTTCCACAAAAACATAGTAGTTAAATAAAAAACTTATTCCCATTTTAACAGTATATCAACTCAACAATTGTATATAAACACTATGCTACTTGCAACAAACAAGTCAACAAGAACTTGGAAATTATGAGACTTTTTGAGCAATATATTTTTTCACTAATTTATAAAATTTTCATGTTTCCTTTATCTCTCTCCTAAAAAATAGTCCAAGCAATTATATATACAATTTTATAAAACAAGAAATAAAGTAAAAACAAAGTGATACTTTAATAATTGTCAGTAAAATTTAAAAAAAAATGATAAAAAAAATTCTCAATGAGTTTTAAAAGAATCATACAATTACAGACAAATTTCACATACCTTTTTGTACATGAATCAACAGTTACAGCCAGAGTCTGTCACAACTTCCTCCCTTTATTATTCTTCTTCTGCTTCCTTTCTTTGGCACGTTGAAACGACGTGCTGAATGATGCCAACAATGTGAAAAATTATACAAAACAGTACCAGAAAACGATGTCCACCAATTAATGATAGCAACATCTCACTATATATTTGTGGCAGAAAAAACATCATATATATATATATATATATATATATATATATATATATTACATAGTTTTTATAAAACTTTCAATCAAATAAATTGACATGTTATTATTTTTATCTGTACCTGTGATATATATGTCATTTCATCTTATCTAACAACTCCCAAAGTCAAATTTGATTATTGATTTATATTCTTTTGACTACAACTTCTAAGTGGAATTGCATATATTTAATTTCTATGCACTATTAGGATGAATTTGTTAAGTAATTATAGTAAAAGACAACAAACCTTTGTCTTATATTAATTTTATGGACTAATCTTATTGTGCTTTTGTCTGATAATTACCACTAAATATATTGAAAAGTATTTTACTCTGTAAAATCAATTTATTTATTTGTTAAATGAACCTTAAGTTAACAAAAGTTATTTCCATTACCTGCAGCTTATGCTCCAAGAAGGATGAAACTGCTTTTTCTTATTTTCAGGCAATGCCACATACTTCTTCCAATCCTCAAGCAAAATTTTGAGATCACTGACTTTGTTTTCTAAACCAACACAGCAATTGGCATGCATTGTTAAGACCTCGTTGAAGTCCTCTGCATGATGACAAAATCCGCCAAAATAATCAGTGCTAAGGAACCTAATGCTCAGTTTCATGTTGGAGATGAAGGAATCCTTTTTTATCTTGTTCAGGACATCCTGGTCATGCAACTTGGGGTAGGAACTCCTAGAGTTGAACCAGAACTTGTAGAACCTAATAGTTCTGCTATTCGATTTCACATAATTAAACCCTCCATTTGGAAAGTTGTTTAAGTCATAGGAATTGCCATTGAAATAATCACAAGCTATTTGGAAATCTGTGTGCTTTTAAAATCGCTTGAAGGGATCTCTAAGCCACATTATATCAGTATCCTGCAAAGGAAAACCTCTGATTGATTCACAAGTGCATGTATTATTTTATCACAGTAAATCAGTGAATTCAACT